TAACATTGATTGGGAACTGATGCCCATGGTATCTCTCATCGCGAGAATGCTTTGAATGGGCGAAAATCCGGTGGATTTTCACGAGCTTCGTATATTCCACGTCGACGGCTGCGACGAACATGCCTTGGGGCATATGCAAAATTGCAAATTAATGCAGCCCGGGGATCGGAAAGGCCATTCGTCGGCAAATTTAACCACAGCGGCAAGGAGGGATTTTCGCGTTCTGTCGTACACGACGTATATCTGTGAACCAGCCCATAGTTCTTCGACAGAATAGATTGCTAAGTCGAACCGTGTCACAATGCCAAAGTTATTACCACCGCCCCGAAGAGCCCAGTATAAATCTGGATGGCTTTGTTTGTTGACATTCAAAATCCGGCCATTGGCAATTACAACCTGAATTACCATGAGCCACAGCAAGAAAAAAAGGGAAGTGGAAAATGATGAAGATGACGGTAACGTATATTGCCAGAAGGAAGGAGGATAACAAACAAAGCACAACCATGACTAACCTCAAAACTATTTACGTTGTCGCATGCAAAACCGTACTGCGCCGAGTAGAACGAAATGCCACCTACGGGAAGAAGGGGATGGGGAAAAATGGGGAAAAATCAATGTTTTCGAAACTGATGTCGTGTTCTATTGATTAGAGAAATGACTTACCTCCGAGTGTCAGGCCCCCAACACCAATATCAGACACACGGCCACCAATGGCGGTCAGACTTTGAGGCTCAAGGCTTTTATATACGTCAATCCAGCGGTTTCCAGGGCCAACCCTGACAGATTTCTTATCCGAGGCCAGTTGGATCGTGTTTAGTCGCTGCAGGTCAATGGTTAAACCATCTGTGATGCTAGACGCGCCGGCAAATGCAGCGTGACCACCGCTCTTCACAGCAAATGGGCAATTCCATAGGCGAGCTATCAATAAAGCTATGGCAACCTGGCGGCTCGAAGTTGGCTGCAAGATACAGGCAGGTTTCGATTCGGATTGCTGCTGTGACCAGAAGAGATTACGCCACTCCGTGTACTCCGGCGTGCTCCTCAGGAAAACTTGTTGAGGGAAAATTTCGGAGACCAGGCGGCACTTTGCTAAGGTTAGCAAAACATAATAATAATAATAATAATAATAATAATAATAAACGCTCGATCTTAACAATGGTACGTACTGTAATGGCTGGAACGAAGAAGGACGTGCTTGTTGATTGTGCAAGCTCGGATGGATCGACGAGTTCAAACACATCCACACCATAACCGGCCAACACATCAACAATGGCTTTATGTTCAGGTAATATCACTGCAGCCGTTGGTTCAGAGTCACCAAGTGTCATTGCAGCAAAATGGCAACCTGCCGCCAGGAGCAAGCGAAGTTTCATGGAGATTGAGTTTCGCTTCACACTTCTGTATCACAAATATTTTAAAAGCTGTATCCGATAATTTAAGCCAGATGGAACTGCAAGATTCCGAAAATGAGGGGAAAGATCACCGTTGAACCCTGTGAGGCTTCTTTGTAAGGCCAGTTAGGGTGTGATGAAACAAGAAGATAATGGAACGTTGAGAGAGCCGACATCACGCATATATTCCCGCGAGTGTTGGGGTCCTCTTCCTAAGATGTTGATATCGGGACAATAAGGTGTATGCCGATCATTGCATGGCTCTCTCAAAAATGATTCAGTGCGCCACGGGCTGGTAGAGTCAGGCAGGGTTCCATTTTCATTTGTTTCGTTTCCATGCCATACTGAGGAATTACCTTTCAGATATAATACTCAATCTTCAAATTCCAGATGAAACGCCTCTGATATCCAAAAATAGATCTTGGTTCGTTGAGCGATCTTTCGTCGACCTGGTGGTCAGGTTAAAATTCCCCAAAGCCCTACGAAAGGTTTCCGAGATCAGTCCATGCATGGACGGTGCTCGGGTCGCTTTATTCAAGTGCTCGTTTTATTTATTCACTAGTTATTATCGTGAAGTAAAAGAGGTTTCTAGTTATAATGATAATCCAGAATAATCTGCATTTTTCTGCTGATAGCGGGAGCTTTCAAGGTTCGCCCGTCCCCACCAACATCGAAGATAAGAGTCATAATGATACAGAAATGATAATGATATTATTCCACTAGAACCAAAGGGCAGGGTATCTATCACAGGAACGGTTAACTAGGGTCAGAAAGGGGAGATTCGTAGAGTAATATTATTCAATAATTGTTGATTGCCCGCCTTGGCTACAGCGCATGCGAGAACCGAAATCCATATTTATATGGGTTCTCGTTGCTTCCGTGAAAATGTCGGTGTCGATTCGCTAACCAGATCTTGTAAGCCTCACTACTGTCCTTTTGTGCATGCATACTTTTGGTAAATTCTGAAGCCAGAGCGGGTGCTCAACGATCACCATGGCAATTACAGAAAGCCATGTCACTGAATCGCAGGTGAAAGTGACGGGCTATGTTATGATGGCTCTCGCCAGAGTAGTCTTTGCGGGGTGATTTGGTATGCGGTTTTGGGGTTTTGGGAGTCGGGTGGTTCAATTGGAAGATTTATTTGTCGTCTCGTCATGGCTGTCTTCCCTTGCCACGACGATCTTCTACCCCATCATTATGCCTGGGTTATACACACTTGCTACTTTCCTGTCTGGAGCATCTCCATTTGCAGAATTCGTGGATGATGTACTGTTCATAAAAAAGATATTCTTCGGCACAACATTCTTGCTTCGGGTGTCCCTGTGGTCGGTCAAGTTGTCTGCTCATTTTGTACCGACGTCTGCTGCCGCGTCTGGAAATTGAAATTAGTGAGGTGGGCGGCTCTTATATTCACTGTTCTGGTATGTATGGCCTTATGTCCATAGTAATATGTGACGCTATGTGGGAGATTGGTAGAAATTCAAAACGTGTGCGGCGTGATACAAGCTATGATTTGCTTCGCTCAAATTTTTAATGTTTGGATGTGAATATGAACCTGTCATGTAGATATGTTAGTGCCCACGACAATCTCGAACTATTGTTCACAGGCTGTTCAACCCACATTTCTATGAGCTTCAACAACTATACGTTACTTGACGTGCAGTAATTCCACGTACAAAACACTATAAATTTCAACAAAAATCATGCCTTTGCGCTAACAGTAGCCTCTTCCCGTACCCACTTCGAAAACTCCTCTCGTTTTCCCTATAAACAACAAATCGTCAGCAAAGCATTTTCATGCTAAATGCAGAGAGGCAATAAACAAAAGAACGAACAGAAATGGAAATTCTGCTACGGACCTTCACATCCCAAAACCCTATCCTGTCTTCGAAACCACGGAATGGATTGCGCACCCCGCCTTCCTTTTCAATCTCGCCTGCCCACACACTCCAGCTAATCGGTCGCAGTCTCTCAGACCCCAGCACTAGGCCGAGTGTAACAAATATGATAGCCACAAGGGTTTCAAGGGTGACATCGAGGGGAACGGAGTGAACACTGCCATATAATATTGAATGTTCATGGGCGGAGTAACCACTATAAACGTAATTCATGGGGTATATGTCAATTCCGGGGATTCACATGTGGGAAAGGAGATCAATGGTCTTAGGAAGAAGCGCTGGTTAGAGAATGTGTCCATTTTGCTTACGCGTGGACGAGCAGGATGAGGCCAAAAAGTGTGAGAAGGCGGAAAAGGATGGACATTGCGCTGTTGGTTCGGTATAGCTGCTTAAGGATTGTGAACGGTTACTGGGCCGGGGGTAAAAACGCGATAGAACAACATAGGCATGTGCTTCGGATCCCGTAATATGGATAGCAATTCTAAATTGAAGACATGGTAGTGTGATGCTGTTGTGCTGTTATGCTGTTACAATTGGCTCTAGCGATGAGAGGAGCGCTAGTACGGACGCCTAAATGAACCAATATGGCTGCCTGCATTTTAGCAATCAATCTTTATAGAAACTAATAAAATTCAATGTCAACACGAATCTGTGAAATCTGGAATGGAAACTGCTTCCAAGTTTAAATCCAAAACATAACTAGATAGAAACCAGGGGATACATTTGTTCATTTGCCAGCTTCCTGAGGAGCGTCTCTTCAAAAGGTGAGACTGATTGTCACCTCCACAAATTTTACCAGAGGCTTAAGTTTCGCGATATTTATTCAATCAAGTTTGACTCGACTGTCAATATATTGTGTTGGATATGCTTCAGGAACGGCAGCCTGGTCTAGTTGCTGAGGTGCACACCAACTAATGTCTGGAATATACGGGCTCCTAGGATACGAAGCAGGTTGTGAAGTTTCTAAATAAAACCATGCCGATCAGCATATATATTTATATGCCTTCACAGTTGAAACAACTCATCTTTTCGTCATGTTTTAACTAGCCAACTTCAAGATGTACCTTGAGCTATGTGGCCTGCGCCGCCAGCCACTACAAGGCTTGTTTGTGCCTCTTGGCATATATGCATTTCGTATAGATCCAATATCTGGATTGGAATGCTTCAATCAAATACAAAAAAGCGTAGCTCGAAGAAAGAGTCATGCGAGAGAACAGTTCGTGTTTCGTGTTCGTTGCTCCTTGTCTTCAAACACAGCCATCTTCCTCCAGGTTTTCAGACGCAGGTGCATACTGCATCTCTCCATGAGACTTCGTGACACCAGCTTGGATAGCATTCCGTGAGCTTCAAACGCAATAGAAGGTATAAATGAGAAGTTATTTCCGTCCCCAAAGGGTTTTTTGGACAGCGAACACTTTGCAAACTTCGCAACTTATTCCAAAACTTCCTCACTCCTAAGCTACTCGACGTCCAGGCCCTCAAAAATCCAATATCAAAACAAAAATGCGCTCAGCTCTTTACTTCGTTACGGAATTGCTTGCCGCTGGCTCTGCCGTGGCATCCGCTGTCCCCTCCACTGGCGATGTAGGAGGAGAAGACTTGAAGGTTGTCAACCTCACTGAGGACGACCTGGAACCGATCCCTGACGGAGGTATGCAGATGAACCATCCAGAACGCACCCAATACCCACTGCAAAATCATCAAACAAAACCTCCATCGAGCCTCTTTTTTTTTTTTAAAGTTTATTGGGTGTGTATGTGTGTGTATGTGTATACCCACATGCTGAAAATTCTATGTATGGCGGGAAAGTCGACAAGCGTAGAATTTTTGACTGCACACCTGTAGTCTGCAAGAACAAGAACCGAACAGACTGCTATAAAGTCAGCACCAGGGCGGGAACTTGCATTAATTTGGTGTCCTCGAACGGGAAACCATTCGTATCTGCCTCATCGGCTGGCAGCTGTCAATGTGTGGCCTACTCTAAAAGGGGATGTCCCATCTGGAGCGGAGATAGTTACGGTTTTACCGTTCCCACGACTTTCAGTTTCAATGCGAATAGCATCCAATGCTACATCTATTAAGTTTTGGGGAAAGGGTGGATAAATATATGTAATGGTTTTTGTGTTTCCTTTGGTTTGCTACTTGCTTTCTTTCACTTGTATTCTCATTTTGGCCTATTATATGTTTTCTGGGGTATTTGGTTTTTTTTTTTTTTTAAGGATGCGCCTGATTTCAAGCGACAGAGGTGTGCACAAGAAATGTACGGAGTGTAATTATATCCACATGAGGATATGAATGATATGCTGGATAAATGGTATGTCGGGAGATATATTCTTTCTCCCTTCATCCACGACACTGCCTTTTTCCGCTCAACGATTTTTGAACTTTCAAAAGAAGCGTGTTCAGCATATATCTATAAATACGGGCGCAGCGGCATTAGAAGGGTGGAGAGAGGAATGAGATGGTGAAAAAATTTTGGGATACATATTATCGAGCCAAATCGATGTGAGATATCCATTTATCCCATTCCTAGGTATATGTCGTCAAAGATAAAATGCCAAGTATATCCATGGGCGTTATTACTCTTCAACCTTTCAACCCATGATTCCGGTGGAAGTTATGTAGCTTTGAGTATACGCAAAGCCGCTGGGATAGTTCGTAACTTTCAAGGGTCTATCTACATAACTAAAGGGTTGGTCGAAGAATACTGTGGTCCCTCGTTTTAATATCTACGTAGATTGTGCGAAAGGAGGGAATCAAAAGTTGAGATAGGATAGTTGGAATAAACCTTTTAGCTGTGATTGTGAAATATTAAGGGAAAAAATGAATAGAATATGCTCAAACATGGTTTGGCGAAACCACGCAACTAAAATAAAATTTAGGAAGACCCAACCCATAGCAACGAAACTCAGAAACAGACTCAATCTTCTTAAAAAAGGCATTGGGGAGATATTCAACCAAAAAGTAAAGGGAAACGAGAGAGTAGGAGGCTCTGAATACCATAGTTATGGGTTCGTTATATCTTAAATAAAAGGGTTAATAAGAGGAAGTCAAAAAAAAAAAAAAAAAAAAAAAAAAAAAGAAAAAAAAAAAGAAAGAAAGAAAGAAAGAAAGAAAAAGAAAAAGAAAAGAAAAGAAAAACGAAAACGGCAGAAATTCAAGCAATGAGTCAAAGTTGGGGTGCGCGACGTTAAGAATAAGAAAGGTAAACAGGTAGATGAGAGGACACCGAAACGCCAAACATCCGATTATGTTGTATAGACAAAAAAACCTGTTGGGGCAGTAAGAGGAAGAATGGTATAGTCATTAACTTAAAAGGAAAAAAACCCCAAACGAAGTCATCGCGCCAGCCCCCTGCCGCAGATATGGGTAGTTCCTGTGGACAAGGATTTGGTGTTGATATCGACCAAGGCAACTCAAAGGCGGTTAACGAGACCGCAGCCAATCTCGATGATGAATAAATAGAGACGAAGCATATCAAGCATGGTGAAAACTGGTGGACACATAAACAATAGGGTAGCGAAAAGTGTATGTCCATTCAACGCTCCGAAAATCGGTCGTGGCAGGCTCGATGTGCATAAAACCACAGTACGGACCTAGCGGAATTCGATGGCCCCGAAACACCCCTTGTTTTCCACGGGTTTAAGCTCAAGCTGCTGGTATCTGAGCAAATAGAAGAAAACATCATAGTTAGTAAATTTAATTATCCAGGTCCTGCACCCACTGCAAATTTTCGGCATGGAAAGACAATTGAAATATAAAGCACGTACTTCTCGCTTTTTGCGTGGAAGTATATCCCACTGACAGTCCCTTTTATCTGATTAAAACAGATATAGTAAAATCCCTCAAAACTTGCACCCGAGATCGTTCTAACGCGGTGGTCTGGTACTAGAAAGTATTCTTTCCATCTCATGAAGATATCTGGATGCTGTGTGAAATTTTTATATGTGAATTCCGACTTCCTAGCAGACCTCGCTAGCGGTCTCCAGGCTGGGAACCGGGCCCAGTGTTGCAGATCAGTTTTATCAGTAGCGCCCCACGACTGATGCTTAGTTAGGAAGGTGTATTTTGTGCCGATTATTTCTGCTTCAAAGTAGGTGGTAAGGGTTGGGTGATCTTCGGTGAGTCCTGATTCAAAACTTGGGTTAGATGTTGTAAAATCAATTAGCCTCGAAAGGCTCAACTCAAGGACATACCTTGAATTCGGAGGTAACCACATAAGTATGATTCTGCCATATCAACATGTTTGATTTCAACGTCCACATTGTATATCTGGCGGTCTGACTGCTGTGTTCCGACGAATTTGCTGCCAGCTCTGAGGAAGGACGAGCAATGATTGGGGAGGAGCTTTCAAAAATATACATTTAGCTGGCTATCAAGATATGAATTTAAGGGGAGATATACTAACTCTGACATTAGAGAAAGCGTAGTCCATAGATAATGTCGTGCTGGATGTGGAGGATGAAGTTGGGTAGGTCTGCGCCGATGAAGCTCCCTCTGATGACGACACGCTGGCCGCCGGGCTTGGCGACTCCATCGCAACATCATGGTCTGTCGAGTCCATTGTCCGGGTAGTTGATTGCGGGGATATTTCGATTCCTAGGGAAGGGGAAGGGACAGTTTGCGAATGTGCATTTTGCGGCTGGTCTATTTGCGCCAGCGCCGGGCGTGGTACAGTGGCTGACGATACATCATCGTCAGCATTGGGCTCAATGCGCTCCTCCGATGATGCTCTCCAGGTGGCAAGCCTGTCAGTCTCCGGGGGGCAGGTGGTATGTGTAGATACGGCTGCGTCGACGGGATATATGGTAGTTGGGGACTGAGGATCACCGCTCGGGGTGGGCATGGGGGATAGGATAAAATAATGACACAAGAATCAAAAGGCTAATGATCAAGAAGCACGCATCGGGGGGAAACAACGTATACAGCTGCCAAGGTAGCGAACAGGCGCAGAGGGTGGGAATATAGAACTAGATTTCGGCGTAAAAGCGAGATGTGTGTGTGGACAACATGCCGTGGAGTGCGTTGCCGTAGGATATATGAAGGCAAGCAATACGCAGGAGTTGTGAGTTGGTGGTTGCCGAGATTTCGAGCAAAGGTTTGCCCAGCCTGGTTAGGGCCATTAGCCATGCGATCGCGGGGGAAAGCTAGGTTTTTAACGCCACAGATTGGACAGCAAAATGCACTGTACTTTCATTCAAAAACAAGCTGGACAATCAACCAGCGTATATGCTTCGCTGGAAAAAATACCAGTCATAATCAATCTCTGGAGTGTAATCTACAAAGAAAGTTTTACACATTAAGGATCAATCAACCCCTCACAGTTTCAACGCCAATGCCCAGCCGAACAAATCAAATAAGAAAAATCACGCCATATCAATTTTATCTTTCTTTCTCAATACCCTTTGCCAATGAGAATCTTTTA